AAACCCAAACGCCAAACCGCACCAACATGTATTGCCAACACAAAACACATCTCTAAAGATACTCTGGCAACCCACTCTGGGCAAAGTCAGGAACATCCTTGTCGCAATTGAAGTCACGATCCCAAGGCTTCTCGGGCAAAACACCCGCCTTGAGGCCAGACTCATAACTCCACTGGTAGTTATTCTCCGTCTTCCATGTCCAGTACCACCACCCCCAGCCCTTCTCGAAACTGTGCATCTGTGCTTCGGCGAACATCTTGAGGAACTTCTTGTACTCGTCGCTCCAGTCGCTAGGGTCGGCGTTGGCGCTACGACATGAACACTTGTCGTCCTTTGTTGGGCATCGAGGCTCCAAGATGGAAGTGTCCTTGTTTCCGGTATCGTATGTGCCCTCCCAGCGAGTACCCCAGCCCACGCCAGTGAGATACTTGGCGCAGTCTGTATCGGCTTGAGACCACTCGGCAAAGATGGTCGGCCCATAACCTGTCGAGGGATTCATACTGATCTCAGCCTGCTCAGTCCAGCCATCGCAAGCATACTCAACCTTCTCCTTGTGGGTAAAGTCGATCTGATTCTCGTTGAAAATGACATACTGATGGACGTCAAGGACCATATCATCGTAACCCGTCATCAAGCCTTGCCAGTTCTCAAGTCCCATAAATCCATCCCCAAACACCACGAGAGCCTTGATGCCGTTCTTGCGGACGAGCTTGTAGGCATTTTCTGTCCATTGGATAACATCGCTTGTTTTAAGGCTGGTCATTCGAGGTTCGTTGGCGAGACCATAATGGGTGATGATGTTCTTATAGCGAGGTTGAGCGAAGAACTTGGACAAACGGTCGTGAATATCGAGTGCCCGCTCTGCGTTTTTGCTACCGTCACTTCCGTTGAGCCAGCCAATGGAACCCCATCGACCACTATGGTTCCATCCGTTTTGACTTCCCGGAATACCGTGCAAGTCCAAGTTGACTCGCAAGCCGTACTTACGGCACCACTCGATCGCACGGAGAAGATATCTCCAGGATGTTCGATACACATAAGGATCACCATCGTAGACCTCGACGGCCCAATAGTTGAAACCAATTCGAACGTGATCGAGACCAGCTGCTTGTATGTCCTTAAAGGTTTGTTCTGTAATGAATGAGGCATAATGTGCTTCAAGAGTTTTCGCAGCATCGGAACCCAGCTTCTCGGACAGAGTCCATTCATCAATGATCCCCTCCTTGGTGTCATAATTGAAAAGAGATGGGCTGATGAAGGGCTCTAGATAGAGCCATCCTCCAATACATACTCCGCGAGCAGGTTTCTTCGCATAAGATCCCCAGGGTTTGTTGAGAGGCGGCACATTGTCGTTGGCTCGGGCCGAGTCGTCCCAGTCGTCGTAGAGACCCATGACGGGCAAGTTTCCAACCATTTGGTCAGTGAAAGTGAGGTTGAAATCGGTGGTTGACTTCCATGTCCAAGGATCGAGATATGTGTTTTGCCACTTCTCGGGTATCTCTGAATGATCCATTCCGTCCAAGTCAGAAGTATCCTCAGTTGAATCGCCTGAGCTACCGCTGCTACCTCCTCCTCCTCCTCCACCGCCTTTGTTCTTCTTACTGACGACTACTGCCACAATGATAATGATAATGAGGACAACGGCACTCACACCGAGTGCAATCCCTGAGTACAGTCAGCTTCTCAACTGCCAATTCCACCGCATCACAACTTACAGAGTTTCTTTTTGCTCTTCTTTGGCGGTTTCGATAAGTAGAAGTCCTTCTCTTGTTCCACACTATCCACACTCCCCCAACCACCTCGAAGATGAGTCTTGGATCGTCCCTCTTCCATAATAGCACCGCTCACGACCCTCTTCTTCTTGTGTTTTCCATGAGTTCGCGGCCTATCGGGATCCCGATCCCGATCTCTCTTTTTGTGTTCATCTCGTCGTTCTCGTCTTCGTGATTCATCTCTATGGTCTCGACTCGCTCTTTCGCTCCGTTTCTTCTGTCGCGCATTCTCCCTTTCCAGATCCGCCAAGGCATTCGCTGATAATGTCCTTGAACTTCTGCCCCGGTTGTCTTCAGATCCAGAGACTGGTCGCCGGGAGCTTTGCGATTTCCTTTTCCGCTGACCGTTCTTTCGTCGATCCCTTTCTCTGTCCCTATCGCGGTCTCGAGGTCGGTGTGAGTGAGAGCGCCGCGATGACTCTTGTGGCGGCATCGTGAGACATGTAGCGACGGCGTAATTGGAATGCAATCTCTATAGAAATGGACTTGAGCGAGTGTCAATGGTTTTACGACCAATTACGACGTCAGTCTTGGCCGATCGTGGTTGTCGGGGCAACCAGATAATATCCTTGGAATTATCCCAGGCCCTGGCCTAGATCTCGCCGAAACAATAGCCCAGAACTTATTCGACACGCCTCGTCATGTTTTCTTTTTATTTCTCCAGTCATTAGGGAAGCCAAATCGCCCCTGTCAGAAGAAGCCGGACTTCCTTTGTCTTCAAATGCGACAGTATGTCAATGGTCAAAGCAAATGAAGCATACGTACGCAACGGCAACTCATTGCCGTTCAGTAAGTGAATGGATTCCCAAAAATAGATGCAATGACTCTTGGAGTCCGCGGATGTATCCAAGACTTGTCCAGATATTGGCAATACCATGATCTTTATTACTTTGGCCAAGTACGTACTAAGGTTGGTTGACTGGACACTCTGGCCAGCGTTGAAGCGCTTGGATTTGGCTGAACGGCTCATGATGATTTGCGAGACACCACGTCAACCAATTGTTTTGTGTAATTCATGAAGCACTTTTTTGCTCTCTAAAATGATTCCGTCAAACTTATATTATTCGGGAAGATGAGAAAGGCACTATCTCGACGATGATACGGATTACTTGTGTGCCTTATCTTTATCTTTATCTTATCGCCAGCAGACTAGTCCGTATCTTCGTCTTAACCCATAAAGTCTGCACGCAAAGTGAAATAGTCCTTTGATGAAGTATTCTAAACTCTACCGTAGAGTTCTGCTTTCCTAGTGTTTCCTGTGTAGTGATCCGTGTTATTAGGAGCTGATTGGGTAACTCTCCGTCTTGTTCGGCATTAGATCATGAGGGCGATAGAAGCCGCCGCCAATCCCGCAGCCCGCAGCAAGCCGAGCTTGACATCACCTTCACCGAGGATCAATCAATCAATAAGCCTCCTTCGGCTGGCTTTGGATATCTAAGGTATAAACATTCTGCTACAACTCAGTTGCTATTACTCCTCTGACATGCCCTTCAAATTGAATCTCTAATCGCCCGTCTCCTGTCATTACAACCTGTGAACATTGCCAATCCATCGCCATGAAGCATCGTGTTATTCACCAGTTCAAGCGGGCACACGTCGTCAGCAATCCCTCGACTGCACGACTCTCACTTGCGCTTCCTGTAGGGCGAAAGTGCTACTCGACACATCCGCCGAATGCCAAACTAAATCTGCCTGTCGACTATGGGACGACACCTCTCCTCGCACACAACTCACAGGCTGCCTTGAGCCACAAGGAGCTGCCTGAAAGCATTCGAAATGGGCCGACCAAGAAGATGAATCTGTTTCAGGCCATCAACGACGCGATGGGAATTGCGCTAGCTGAGGACGAGTCTGTCGTCATTTTTGGAGAGGATGTTGCTTTTGGTGGTGTTTTCAGATGTACTATGAACCTTGCTGAAACACATGGTGCTGAGAGAGTGTTCAATACTCCTCTTACAGAACAGGGTATTATGGGATTTGGTATTGGTCTTGCCGCAGAAGGCATGCGACCTATCGCTGAGATTCAGTTTGCCGACTACGTTTACCCAGCTTTCGATCAGTTAGTCAACGAGGCTGCCAAGTTCAGATATCGTGATGGGTCCTGCGGGCGAAGCGTGGGTGGCTTGACAGTACGAATGCCCTGCGGTGGTGTTGGTCACGGAGGTCTCTACCATTCACAATCTCCCGAGAGTTTGTTTACACATATTCCTGGACTCAAGGTCATCATGCCAAGGTCGCCAGCTCAAGCCAAGGGTCTTCTCCTCGCCGCAATTCGCAGCAACGATCCCTGCGTGTTCATGGAACCCAAGATCCTGTACCGCGCCGCCGTTGAGCAAGTTCCTGTTGGTTCATATGAACTCCCACTATCGAAGGCCGAGATTCTCAAGGAAGGCAAAGATGTCACAATTGTCTCATACGGTCAACCCCTCTACCTATGCCAGAACGCAATCAGGCAGGCGGAGCAGGATCTGGGCATCTCTGTTGAGTTGATCGATCTTCGAACTCTTTATCCATGGGATAAGCAGACCGTACTCCAGAGTGTTCGCAAGACAGGACGAGTGATGGTTGTCCACGAAGCTATGGTGAATGCAGGCATTGGTGCTGAAGTCGCCGCCACTATTCAAGAAGATCATGATACATTCCTGCGATTAGAGGCACCAGTTGCTCGAGTTGCTGGGTGGAGTATTCACTCTCCTTTGCTATATGAGAGGTTTAATGTTCCTGATGTTGCTAGTAAGTAATCGAAAGATGGTTGTGATGATGGTCCAAAGCTAACATTGTTCCCAGGAATTTATGATAATATCAAGAAGTTGTTGAATTACTAGTGGAAGAATAATGGAACGGAGGTGAAACGGCTAAGAACAGCCAAGATACCTAGCTAGAGCCGTGAAATAGAAATTTGAGGAATCGATTCTTTGAGAAGCACAAATGATTTGATGATATCTTGATAGGTATTCCAAATTATGAGTCTTTCCTTGTGGTAGATGATAGGCAAATAGAACTGCTAGCATTAACCCCACTGACGCCGTCACCTACCTTAAGTTAGTACGGAGTAGGTAGGTATGCTCTTGCTCCACCTAAGCTAATGGAGCTCCTCCATCCTCTGCCCCGCCTCCCCTTGACTGTGGCCCATGCTGTGCCTCAAGAACTCCACGCCCTGAGCCTCAACGCCAACGCCCGTCCTTTTCGCCTTATACCTATACACGGCGCATTCAATCGCATTAAACCATGTCGGATCTGGAGACTGTTTCTGCCTTTGTCGAGGGAGCTCCTCCCGGAGAGGTACGTGCTGATATCATCCTATTGTCCGCGGCGTCATCAGCTAATATGAACTCGTAGCTCGCAGACGTTATCGCAGGTATTACCGGTCGAAATGCGATTGCTGAGCCATCAACATTACTGACACGAGTCTACAGATATCAAGTCTCTCACCCTCGAAACTTCGCCCGATATCATTTCCAGCCTCGGTCCCGCTTTCGAAAAGTACAATGAGGAGCAGTTAGTTACGGTGAAGCTGCCTGGTAGCAGCCAACCAGTAGGTGACGAAGAATTTCGAAAATAGAGAGATTGGAGCTGAACAGGAGCGCCAGGTCATTATTAGTTCCCACAACTCGCTTGGAGACGGCCGTTATTACGATGTTGAGAGCTCTTCCAGCTTTGCTTTCGACCATACTACGCAGGTAAGCTGCGCATATCTACCTGCACAAATGGGTGTATGGTTCTGACGGAGGGATAGAAAGCTAGTGCCGTGCAAAGCCATGTTCTGGAAGGAGCCCAAGCGGATCTTGTGTAAGTTGGCTCGAGCCGGTTGGACAGCGTCAAGTGCTAACATACAATGATAGCAAATCCACCCTCAAGAGTATCGGACCTTACGTTGATGAGCACTTCGCCAATGCTGCGCACGGTGTCTACCCAATCGAGTCGGATTCCAAGATTGCCATCGTTATTGTTGGCAACAAATATAGCCCCAACAACTTCTGGTAGGTATTCTACGTTTCAGACCTGTTTCACCCAGCTAATGACCCCAGGAACGGACGCTGGCGGTCGCTTTACATTCTTGACCCATCTTCTGGAGCTCTTGAAGGGTCCCTAAAAGTTGACGTACACTATTACGAAGACGGCAATGTTCGTCTGCTCACCAACAAACCCGTTTCCAGCACCATCTCCTCCGTCAATGGTGCCAGCATCGTCAGGGAGATCTCGACCACTGAGAGAAAGTACCAGGAGGAGCTGAACAAGGGCTTCGTGAGCCTCAGCGAGGGAGCCTTTAAGGGTTTGCGTCGACAGCTACCTGTGACGAGACAGAAAATTGAGTGGGATCGCGTGACGAGCTACAGGTTGGGTCAAGATATCGGGGGTGGAAGCTCAAGGCGATAGAGCATGGTCATTAGTAGCGCACGAATTTGAACGATAGACTGGACGAGGAACAACGTAGAATACATGCCAAGGATCGATGTCTATCTTGAAGGTGCTGGTCTTACCTGCACAAGGGTTTACGATCCGAGCATCGATCGAGAAAAGCTCGGACTTGGTCGCGATTATCTCGATAATCAACCGTATCATCCAAGCCTTTAATAACTGTATGACCCCTAGCCCACAAATCACTAGGTTGGGCATTTGGCATGGAAGGCTTCGGAGGCTTCTGGTCTCATGCACAAGGTGTAGCACATAAATCGCGTTTGCGACTGACGGGAGCTTGATGGATGGCACTCCGGGCATACATGACCGACGATGCAAAGCGGTTGAGCAGCAAGAAAATCTATACGCCAGTCTAAGTACTAAGGCCACTGAATGTTTCATCTTATCCTTATCCCGAGAGCAGTTTGCAATACTTCATTCAAGACCCTCCGATATAGCTAATTCATCAATCCCCGGGTGGTTTTACCTAGATGGTCATGAGCTTAAAGGACCCAGAGCAACCAGATATGAGACACAGGAGGCTCACGCCAGGCAAGGCCTCTGTCATATCTTGCTTATCTTGCATAAGTCAACCGCAAGCGGTAAAGGTCAGAGATGTCTTTCCTCGGGAATCGGAAATCGGCATCTCCATCGGTACTGGTTTGCGAGTGGCCTTCAAAGTTCAGCTCTTGGAATCATAGCATGTGCCATCAAAGCTGTGATGTTCCTCGGAATTAGGTTGCCAATGGAACACGTCGGCATAGTGTCCGGTTATCTTGACTCTTTATCATGAGAGATGTCCCGCCAAACTTGTCTTGAAAGGGTAATTTCCTCCCAAGGGGTGACTTGTGACAATGACATAACCCCGCGGTGGACGGAGGATAGGTCCGTGTTTTAGGTGCCGGTGATGTTTGCCTTAGTTTTTAAGATGCGGGGGAGATCATATGTGGTTGGAGGGGCAGATCTGGTGTTGATATCTACATATTTTGTAGCCTACCTACCTATTGCCAATCTGTCCTTCACGGGAGAGATCGGAAGCTTGAGTAATAAGTATCCGATGCCTTTCGGATTGGATCAACACAATTTGATCATAGACATAAAGAATCATACCACGTTGCGTGCGAAAAACAATGGAATCCGCCGTTCAAAATGACGGTGAAGTAGTATTGAACCTGGGGCGGGGAGAAATCACCGTATTCGTATGCCAACAAACAAACGGAATCAAAGAAGGGAATTATGCTAGCCCACGGTTCTTGGGCCTCATCAGCAGCCGTACAAGTTACTTGGGTTGGTAAGGCTGGGGTTGAGAAAAGGTGACGAATCAGAGAGTAGAGACGGTAATTTTGATGGCTGCGATTGGCTTAAAAGTACCCTCGGCGATGGGCCTTATAGGGAATGGGTCCGGATGTTGGGACACCGAGTCGTACCAGGAGCTCCAAGTGGGTGAGGTTGAGGTTGAATTCACTACAAGTCATGGCCTGAATGATAAGGCTGTGAGGAGCAAAAGGCACATGTTAATGGAAGAGAAATGTGCCGAAGATGATCATTAAGAGAGAAGCAGTAGGTAATTTCAACGGATACAATTGGACCCCAAGAATCCGGTAGTACGGTACGATTTCGGTCGACTTCCTTTCCGATGACCTTCCGAGGAAACAGAACAGAAAGAAACAATAGAAGGTAAGACGCCGCAAAAGAAAGGATCAGGATCAATTGTACCGGGTACATAGAATTTGTGTGGGGCAGTGCTTTGCTCAGTCTACTATACCTAACCTATGGGCCCTGGCAAGAGTGGCCGCCGCCAAATCTCCAGAAAGGCCACCTAGAAACAGGGGACCTAAAATAATTTAGCTGGTAACTTGGGTTAAGTTCCGTCCCGGCCAGTTACTTGTGACTTTCCATTCTTCTCTCCTCCTTTCTTCTCTTTCTTCCACTCCCATCCTCTTACAATCCCAATCCCAACACTTGTGCGACGACAGTCCTCGAACAAGACCAGAACCCCCCAATTCTCTTCACGACTCGTCACATCAACACCGCAATCATGTCCGCGAAGAAGGAGTTCACCATGCAGGATGTTGCTGAGCACAACACCTCCAGTGACATCTACATGGTTGTTCACGACAAGGTCTACGACTGCACCAAGTTCCTCGACGAGCATCCGTACGTTATATTGCTATCCTTCTGCGCTACGTGGCGCAATCGTTGCTCAGGATACTAACATCAACTTAGCGGTGGTGAGGAGGTCATGCTCGACGTTGCTGGTCAGGACGCCACCGAGGCTTTCGAGGATGTTGGCCACAGTGACGAGGCCCGAGAGGTTCTCGACGGTCTTCTCGTCGGTGAGCTCAAGCGTCTGGTGAGTAACAGAGCCCTTTATCTCGATGGAGCAAACGCTAACATGTGCCCGTTACAGCCTGGTGACGAGGGCCCCAAGCGTCAAATCGCCAACTCGAACCAGGGGAGCGGCACGTCTGATCCCGCCGGCTCCAGCTTGAACACATATGCCATTGTTGTCGCCGTTGGTTTCATCGCCTACGTTGCCTACAACTATCTCCAGAAGCAGCAAGAGGCTCAAGGGCAAGCCTCCGCATAAGCGCCTCATGTCAATCGCATCGCATGAATGAGGATAGAGAAAAAAGGGTGTTCTTTGGATTTTGCTACGGCATCAATGCAGATGTATGTCTCTGAGGACCACTATGCATTGGGAGTTTTCTTTGGCCTGAACAGAGGTCGGTGATAGACGGCGGGCGCGCAGCTACTAAATGCAGCTTACCCCGGCTTGGACATGATGAGAACAGTGGGCAGCGGCGAATTCACTCATGTCAAAGCCCATGCCACGTCCCAATTTTCGGGATTTTACTTTTTTGTTGGGGGTGGACGGAAGAGGGGATCGGGACGTGCAACCGAAACCCGAAAAGAAAGATAAGGATCGCAGCGAAGCGCAGACGAGACCCATTTGCGATGCGCAACTCATTCGCAGTCAGACAGACGATTCGGCCATCTCGTCTCATGGGCCACGGTGCTACATGAGCACGGGACATGCATTCAACAATGGAGATGACAATCTCGGGGCAATAAAGTGGAGTAAATATATATCACTGTTTTAATCAATGACTGGTTATGACCATTTTCCGCACTTGCCTTTCGTGATTAACCCTACTCGATACTAGGTTCCTGTTGAGTGATCCTTCGTCGTTCTGTAACCTTACGTCGACCTCTTCACCTATAGGATTCTACAGAGTTGAAAAGTCAAGGCAGAGTTTAAGTCTTTTTCAAGGACGTGACTACAATATAAGGATTTACGGTTATCGAGAAACAGGTAAAGTCTTGAACTGATAAAGCTTCAGCTTGCGGCCGACAAGTATATCAATATTTTCACCAATGGTTATTGATGCTACGTTTCTCAGAATCACTTTAATTTTTCCCCCGTGAATTATAACGAGAACAATCTTCTCAACAGACCTAAATTCACCATAAAGTAGAACAAAAGAGTTTGATATCCGTTGCCTATGACCGTACGTTCCCTGCAAGCAAATATAAATATGCGTTCGATGCCCATGAATTGGCCATTCTTTTTTTCCCTCTTGCAATCACACACTCTCTACTCTGTACTCACATATTGAGCCTCATTCTGGATACTCATCGATTGTGGATAGTCAGTCAGTGGAGGTTAGTACAGAGCACAACCACAGCAGTGCACGCCCCCTGGTACTGCTGGTACCTACCTGCCTAGCGCCACACTAACGTGAACATCAGCCTCGCCGGATCAACCTCAATCCAAACTTCAAGCTTACCTTACTTCACTCAACCTCCATCTTCTTTTTTCCTTATTCCTTTGTTCTTCGCTGTCCGCCCTGGCCGTCTCTCCTTGACACCAATCCCCTACAAACAAGCGCGACCTCTCGATCTTCATCTCCGATCCGCAGAGAATACATTCTTTTTTCCTGGATAATCATGTCGTCCTATCTCGAAAGGCAGGCAAATGCTTTCAAGGGAACCCTTTCAGCAGCCGCGACAAAGATCTCAAATCCATCAACAAACAAGGCTTCATCTCTCGCCGTCCCTTCGCTTGCTCCTCCCTCGCCATCTCCTTCAGCAGCCTCCGATCCAAATACCCCTACTTCCAAGCGAAAACGAGATGCTGGCCCTGAGGTGCCCTACTCTCAGCCGCAGCTCACAGGCTATGGTGCTGGGGTCAAGACGCAAATGACCTATGCTGTTGATTACCTAAAAAAGAAGGGCGACGCAAAGACCATCACGGATATCATCGACCATCTGAGTTTGCGGAATTTCGACGATGAGCACAAGCGACAACTTGCGGAAGGCCTACGAGGACATCCCCGTGTAGAGTGGAAGCCAGATGCAAACCTGAGTGAACAGACCTGGAAGACTGGCGCCTATGTCCACCGACCTATCATTCCCGGAGTCAAGGACGCAACCAGCCTTCTCGCTCATCTTCAAGCCAAGACAGACGCCTCAGGTGTGTCAGTCAAGGATCTCAAGGACGGCTGGCCCGACTGCGAAGACACAATATCAGCCCTCGAGCGCCAGCACAGGATCTTGGTAGTGCGCACCAAAAAGGATAATATCCCGCGCTACGTTTGGCCCAATGATCCGTCGCTGCACCACAAGGTCCAGCCAGAGTTCCAGAGCATGTGGCAGCGTGTGCAACTACCACCCCTCGAGGAGATGCACCGCAAGCTTACGAGTGTCGGACAAAAGCCTACAAGCGAGGATCCACGCAAGGCAAAGGATGGACAGGGCAACAAGCCCAAGGCTCAGAAGCGTCGCAAGGGCAACAGGATCGGCAAAGCAACCAACGTGCACATGGCGCATCTCATGCAAGACTACAGTGGCATGCGACGATAGGGAACGCGTGTATCATAATTGTTTTTCATTTCAGGGCGTTGGGGTGATGAGCTCGTGACTCAAGGGACGAATCACTTGATTTGATTTGATTTAATTTTTATTTGGCGTTTGGCGATAAAGGACCCCATTGAGAGCAAGGTCACACAAAAAAGACAAAGGGCATTATGAGACGGGCATCGCCGGGGTAGACGTAGGGAACAAGGCAGCGGCATGTTTTAAATTATTCAATCAGCAACATTGTTCAATATCAAAAACTCCGGTCGCCTTTTGCTGTGTACGTGACAAGCTTTCTATCTCACTTGTGTGTCTCTCGCTTGCCATTCCCTCTGTCCCAACATTGATTTGTCTTTACCTGTTCTCCCTCCGTATCTTGTCAAACAAGCTCTCAAAAACGTCTGACTCTTGATACCCCCCAACTCGAAACTTCTTCTGAACCGTAACGCAAGGCACGGCTTCTACACCCGCGATGGCAGCAGTTCTGACCTCGTCCTCGAGCGTCTTCCCCAAACCAGGCCCCAGAAGCGCCGCTATCATATCAGAATCTTCGAGTTTGGCCTCTGTTCGGCCTACATGCATCAACCAGGCTTCGTCAGCAATGTCAGCCCCGTTTTCAAAATGGCCACGGAACAGAGCATCGAGAAACGCGGACTGGACATTTGCTCCACGAGTTTGGAGGGTCAAGGCCACAAGCCTATGGGCTGGCTGTGAAGGCCCTGTCTTCCCAGTCACGGAGAATTCGATGCCGTAACGAGCGCCGGCTGTTTGGAGTCGAGAAGTGAGAAGACGAAGCTTTTCTGGGGACATGAGCTTTTCATAGAGGGCACGCTTGTCACCTGTGGCGGGTTAGAATAACGGCGAGATATAGAGGGCAGAATTACCTCGTCGTAGCGTGGGATACAGAAGAAAGGGCTTCCATGTGACATCGAATTCGACTTCTGGGTGGAGTGCTTGATATCGTTCCATGGCTTCCTCGAGAGTCTTTTTCTGGAGAAAACACCACGGACATAGAATGTCTCCATGGATGACGATGTCAAGAAGCATGGTTGAAATTGAAGAGAAGGTGTTGGAAAAGAATACGGAAGAATCTCTGTTCGTAAATCGTTCCAGTCTGTCAAAGCGTATAAGTAAAGATGGACGCTAACACAAAAGGTTAAAAACCGTTGAATACCGTCACACTTTAGTGAGAAAGCCACTGTCGATCTGCAGAGCAAACAACCCAAGATACTTATATATATATGAACGGAGCACTCCCTCTCCGTCCTGTATGTATGTAGGTATTACTCCGTATGAAATCTCACATTTTACCCTCCAGGGACCAGGGCTCTAGCCAAACATCTTCCAACAGCCCTCTCGTACATGATAAAAGCCCAGCTCATCCGGCGTCAGGGCTATCCGATTGGCAAATCCAGGCATCAATGCCGCCCATCGTGGCCTGTGGTTGAATATTGAATATGTCTGCGATGAATAATCAGAAAATCGCCGTTCTGCGGGGGTCTAGCCTGCACTACCGGGAATTAGGCAGGGGGGGAAGCTTTCTCGCTTTTTCGCTTTTTATAATTTTTTTTCTTATTCTCAAAATGGCGTGGTTTCAGCTTCTTAGCTGAAATTTATGGTCTTCAAAAAGTCTAGACCGGTCGCTGGGCTTGACACTCGCGTGCTCGTGGAGGCTTTGTTGTACGCGATAGACGTCATGGAGGTTTTTGGGCTTGACAGCACGGATTTAGACGAGGGGTTGATTTGTCGATCTCTCTGGGCAGTGAAACAACAGAATGCTCATCCATGCGGCTCAACTGAGGGGGTACATATCAGTTGACAATAATTGCCGAAGGGCATCGGCTGCGGCTGACCGATATATCGACCGATAGCTGATGTTCTGGTTCTAGAGCAGGTCTATGTGTGTGTGTCACAGCATAAACCAGTCAGTCATAAGCGGGCTGATATTCGTTTTTGTTGAGTGTAGTAATATATTCATCGCATCAAATAGCAAGTCTATGTTGGTTCCCAGTCCCCAAGTCCAAGTCTACATAATAATACACAAACATGCCAGCGTCTTGTGCTTCCCCATAATGCCTGCTGTCTTTGTCTCTGATACGCTCAGGAGAAAAAGAAAAAAGCAAGCAAATGTTCCTGTGTAACTCCCATCCTAGGTTTGCGTTATGCAGACAAATGCAATGTCCTGTCCGTCGTTCATCGCATTGCTATCCGCCAGTCTATTTGACACTAGAACAAAGGAAATAAAAAAGCATCCATAATGTACGAGAGATGGGGGAATCGATAAAGCATGAAAAACACGAAACAGTGCAGAATTCAACGTTCAGAGCATGCTCCATCTAGGAGCGAGCCCGCCCCTATTAGACGGTCGAGTGATGTGTGTTGTGGGGGGGTTGATATTACACTAAGACATGCACACAACTTGTCGTCAGCTGCGGCAAGCTTAGGTGAAGGGGTATGAGTATGGGAATCCAGTCCAGAAGGAATTAACGCCGCCATAATCTTCGTGCCCGAGTCGGGCACAGCTTCAATAATACAGGGTATCGGTGAGCTCACTCCAGATCATCACAAGAAAGACGAACCTGAGCATTGCTCAAGAGTCAGAATCTGGCAATATGTCCGACTAAGCCATGTGTACCAGTCCAGGTTCAGTGCTCTGGGGTCGGCGCATGTGCGCAGCGGCACTGTAATACATTTGGTTCATAGCCTGGTTGGCAGGATACGCATCCGCAG